TGGAGGTTGACCTGGGGTTGTTGTTAGTAAGGAGCCAAGACGAACGGGGTGGGGTGGGGTAGGGTAGGGTAACTCACTTCGCGCGGACCAGACTCACGAATGTAGGCATCGATCAAACGACGCCAGAGCATGAGAACGTATGCACACTCGTCGGAGAGGGGCGAGATGGGGCTTCCGGGATGGCGGTTGACCATCTTGGAGTAGTGCTTGCGGTAGCGCGAGGCGTCCATTGTGAATTCCAGGTTCTCGAGGCAGTGGTTCTGCGATAAGAAGGCCATGAAGGAGGTGAGGGTGTAGGGTGGAGGTGCTGTGTTGTTGAGTATCTCGGACAGGTTGGGCTTGCGGCCATGGGGACTCGGGATGTTTTTCGGTATGGAGACGGACAATGGCTGGGGCTGGGGCTGGCAGTCACTCATGGCCATCTTGAGTTCCCGGTGGTCAAAGTCGGCGACAGAGGCGGTGGGTGACGAGGCAGTGGACGAAGGCGAAGTTCTTATCGAGAGGGCCTGGGTACCGGGCTTTCGGGTAACCATGACGCTGCGCCAGAACTGTTTGTAGACGCGGCGGGCGTTCTTCCTACTCTGCTCGTCGAAGCCTTCACAGGAACAGAGTTGCAGTTGTTGCGCCAGCGTGACGACTCGGGCACGAGGTTCAGCGAACCCGGTGTCTGGAACAAAGAATGGTAGGGTTCAATCAGCGAAGCGACTGGAGCAGCATTTGCTGTTTGATCGAAGCAGGAACTAGCTTTCGCAAGACAACAGGGCCAAAATCCGAAGAGTGTCGTGGGTGTTGGGAAGGGTTAGGTCGGGTATATAGTAGCAGTGCCGTGTGTCCTGGTCGGTGAGGGTCGTGTCCGGGTGGGTCTTGGATTGGGTGACTAGGCGTGGTGAGACGTTCAGACGTGTATGCGTCAGGACTGCGGACGTGGGTGTGGACAGGTGCGGCTCGGCGTGGTTTTGAGAGGCAGTGTGGAGAGTCAGGGAGCGGCGGTCTTGGGTCAATGCTTGGGCAGAAAGCTCAGTCAGGACGCACACGCCAGGGCTCCACCACCGGTTTGGCCATGGGCTGTCGACGAGGGCCCATGGCTGAGGACACCAAAGAAGCCACCCTCGTCCCTCGTACGCTAGCCCGCTAGCCCGCTAGCTGCAAGCTGCTAGTCGGGGCCCACGGCCTCCCCTAAAAGCGGCCAGTCGTGCAAATGCACTCATTCGTCACTGACGTCCAGTGCGTCTTCTGGAAGACGCACGCCCTAGCCCTAGCCTCAAGACGCGACTGAATCCTGATGCTTGCCGAAACCGCCCCCTGCTATCCATTTGCCACCAAGAAGAGAGCCAGTGTCTGTGTCTGCTGGCCGCCCAATGTCTAGCCCTGCTAGACATGCTCAGCGCAGTGCAGTAGTATAGTAGTGGTAGTAGTAGTAGTAGTAGTAGTAGACAGCCACAGCGGAGTGAGTCGACCATGTCGTCTGTCGTCGAAATATCATGTCATGGCGAACCACTCTCTCTCCCACTCCCTCCCTCTTTCACTACATGTCAGATTCGGCCACACTCTTCTTCCTCCGACTCTCCGCCCCTCCCCTCCGCCCACACAACTGTCGGCTGCACCATTCCCATCTGGCCCCGACTCCCGGCACTACCTCTGCGTGCATAGATTGGCTTGGCCCACAGCCTTGTCCGACGGCGGCCCTCTGTGTCAGCTCGGCGCTGAGAGGGTGACGATAACTACCAGATTGCGTCGCCATCAACAAAGTGCACCACGCCTTCACCACCCAGCACCCAGCACCCAGCACCCACCACTCACCACCCACTTACTTCCCTTTCGAGTCCTTGATAGCCCTTTGTTGTCCTGGTTGCCCAACACCTGGCCATGTCGTACTTGTCGCGCACTGCCGTCGTGCTGGTCTGCGACACATGGCGCGACAGCAAGCCCGCAAACGACGGCCCCAAGCCGATTTTTGAGCGACTAATCCACCCTATGACCCTCTACCCACTACAACAAAGGAAGGTACATCGATCCGACTCTCTACCTTACCCCATCAACAATCACGCCTTACCAACCTATTACCAACAAAACACCCACAATGACCTTTGACCTACACACCACGTAGCTAAAGTGTACATAGCAGTAGATAGTTGACCCATGCACGCATGTCACCACCAGCTTCCCATTGCCAATCACGCCAGCACCTGTAGGCCTTTGCTTGGCCTTGGCCTGAAGCCTGGGGTCAAACGCGTCCGCGTCCTTTCCCTAATCTCTGCCTGAGTGTCGTAGCCACAGACTGACACACGCTGCACCTCAGCCATCACAGTCCCAAGTGCAACATGCACCCGCCCGTGGGCCGCCGCATCTGGCAAACACACAACTCTCAGACTGACGGTTTCGCCCATCACGGTTGCACATCGCGGTCCAAACGCAACATGCTGACGTTCCACAAAATCCCGCCCACTCATCTCTCACCTCATCCTCCCCATGCCATCCCTGCCAAAGTCCCTCGCACTCGCATCCCCCTCCCCCCGTATACGCGGCAGAAGTCTTCCAGAACCACTGCTCTTCTTCCAGAATCTTACCCGAAGCCGTCTAGGCGCGCGCGCTGCTTCGGCTGGCCTGTGGATCGCTCCATAGACTCCATTGATTGCTGCATGGCTGGCCAGCGTAACGCCTGCGCCTGTCATGCCTTCTTCATCTAAAGCCCGCTGCCTGACCATGTTGTTGAGGATGGGTTTTCGGCCACTCTCCAAGCGCCGTCCTGGTCGCACCTGCCTGCCGTCTTGGTGGCGCTTTCTAGAAAGTCCAAAGCCGCCTGCCTGTCGTGTCCTGGCCGTCACTACCCGGCTAACCTCTACGCACGCACCCGCCGACAACGAAAAAAAAAACCAGACCGGCACCGAGAAATTCGGCCCGCACTCGTCGTGCCCACTGTGAGGCTCGGTGTCTTTGACAAGACAGCATGACGTTGCAGGTGGGCCTCTTCTCTCGCACACGCCTGCGATTCACCCGCTTCACCGCTTCGTGGGGTTTTGTTTTTTAGCCGCATCCCACGTCTGTTTGAGCACGATCGATGAAACCAGATGGCGACTTGGCACAAATATGCGTAACCCGCTCCACTATTAGTCCTGTTCGAGCCTCATCTACCTTCGGAACGACATTCCCTCGCCTTGCATGGTGGCGCTGTTTAATGCATGTTTTTTTTCTCTTTCTTTGACCCTCACCGGCCAACTGACATCCCAACGACCGTGACCTCGGGATGCCCTTTAGCCAACGTGCATCGTTGCAAACTGTTGAACCCGAGTTCCTAATCTTCCTCGTACGAGCCGACAACGTTGCTGCGCGTGGTTGCATTACGGCCTCATTACCGCAGAAAAGACATGACGGCCTGGCATTTTAGCCCTACGGCCGGATTCATCGCAAAGCATGGACATGCTTACAACTCCACGATCGCGCATGGAGAGAGCTTGGACGGGAGCGTGCGCGCGCGACGCGAGCAAGGTATTGATTGCTGCGGCTCTGGCGGCCGGCACAACAACAAAGGTGCCAGATATACCTGAAACCTGTCTTGGGATGCGGATCCATCACCGTATGGCCGCCGTCTGTGATACCCCGCTAGCCGAAAGAATGATTTGAGAAAAGAAGCAAAAAGGTGGGTGAAATGGGTGCCGACAGCGAATGCTGGGGGCTATCAAACTGCTTCAAACATGTGCCGTAGAGACACATGCTTGTGCCGATCCTTATGCGGCTGCTGGTTTGAGTCAGCCATCTCCCTTAGCGAGCACGACGTTTGGACTTGGATCCCACGACGGGCCTCACACACATGTGGACATACCACCGGCCCACCTGTCTCACCAAAAAAACACTGCTCGGGGATTCTCCATGTCACGCTCCGCCGTCCAAATCCCCTACTTTTCGTCTTCGTTTGTGTGCCAGTCATTGCAAGACCGGAAAAGGCAAGTAAATAAACAAATAAATCACCACAAGCACAAGACCCTCGAAAGCAGTAAAACCGTCGTCATTCAATCAATCTGCAACCGCACCCCGGCCTGTGTCTCCAAGGCAGCAACACCCATATCCCAACCCTTACCCCTCATCTCGTCTCCATACCTCTCAAACAGGGCCTGCACTTCCTTCAGCGACTCTCTCAGCTCAGATATGAGGCCCTCCATTGCCGGGCGATGGGATCCATCATCCGGCTTACGCGCCAGAACGGCTGATCCAAGGCCTT